ATTTAATTATTGGTCCACTTCAAAGCTAATTTTCCGGCTGAACCCACTCAATTTTCTGAGATCCAGGAAGCAAGAAACGCGCGGCTTGCGTGCCCCTTTCTCAAGTTCCTCTTTGACCTTCCCGTGGGTTCCATGGAAAGGTTTCTGGGTCAACCCAGCTCCCTTCTTCCAGCCTTCCTCCCGCCGGAAGTTCCGGAAGACCTAGCCGAAGCGCGCAGCTCGCGCAGCTCGCGTGCGCGTGCGAGGCTTCAGCCCCATGCAAGTCCGAGACCTCGCGGCGCCGGAGCTGCTGCCGCCGCCGCCCAAGCTCTTTCTGCAAGGCGTCGATCGCTCGGCCGCCGAGCCATCCGTCCGAAGCCGAAGGGGGAAACAAAAAAATCATCCCCCGCCCAAGCGCTGGGGTCGTTATTTGGACGGTTTCTCGCGAATATCAAAGTCAGTAAATGGAATCGGTTGTTAACCCACCACTTAATTAGGGGGGGACTTTGAATAGAATAATGAGGCCAGAAGCGGCACACCGCAGCCATGCGGTCGTTGGTTGAGATTGTTGGGTTGCTTGGCTCAGCTGGTTCTTCAAAGCGAAAACCAACCCGGATCCGACCTTTTGGTTTTTCCCGTTTGGGTTTCCCATATTTTGGCATGGCCCCGAAAGGCGAAACTGTTAGTTGGTGGTTCGTTGTTTTGGCTTGTTGTTGGTGCTTATTGATGTTGTTTGCAAGGCTCAAGGGCTTCAAGGCGTCAGGAAGGTGAACCACCCCCTCTACAAAGTATTAGTTTTGGTGGGGAGCGCCCAAGGTTCTCCATTTGCGGGAAGCAGACAATCTTCACATGTTCAACTGTAGCATATATGTCCGTGTTTAGAGCTCAAGAATATTGCCCGCACTTCTTCAGGCAACGGCGAGCCTGACGGCATTTGTCGCAAAGCGTGCGGACAAACGGCAAGCATGCGACAACCCAGAAACTCAAACTGCAACGTAGTTTTGCGACCAGGACAGCATTGTTCCCTGCAGAGTGTGTGTGGGTGTGGGTGTGGGTGTGTGTGTGTGTGGCTGTGGGTGTGGGTGTGGGTGTGGGTGTGGGTGTGGGTGTGGGTGTGGGTGTGGGTGTGGGTGTGGGTGTGGGTGTGGGTGTGTGTGTGTGTGTGTGTGTGTGTGTGTGTGTGTGTGTGTGTGTGTGTGTGTGTGTCTGTGAGTCTTTCTGTGCAATTGTGCAAGCACTGGCGATCGATCAGCCCTTGGAAACGCGTGCTTGGGGAAGCTGGGGCGCTTTGCTCATTCAAAATCTTGAAGCAAAGGCTTCAGCGGAAAAGAGGTGGTGTTTGTGGTTTGGGGGGCCACATTTACGAATGAATTCGCAAAGCCACACCGTCCAGGCTACAAAGCTTCCCGCAGTATGCATGTGCAACCGCCAGCACCTGATTCCGCTTTGATCGTTCCTGCCATAACTTCTTTGGCGCTTGCCCTCTTTGAGTCCTTCTGATGCTCCGATCATGCGTCACAGGGACTCATCTCTCTTCATTTCGGCCATCGGTGCGGTCGGTGCGGGCCCGGGGGTTTCGGGTCCGCGCCAGGCTTCCAGGGGAGCTTTGACAGCACCACTGCCAGCAAGAGCTTCTCAGCCAGCCAGAGCTACAGCAAGGCTTCTGCCGGCAGCACCGCCCTTAGATGCGGTCCGTCCGGTCAGGGGCCGCGGCCGCGGCTTCACGTGGCTGCACTCAAAACCAGAGCGGCCATGGTTAAACAGGTGACCCGGCAAGCACCCCTTTTAGAAGTGAGAACCCAAGGTGATTGCACCTTGGAAAAAGGGAGGCATTGTCCTGAGTTGGTGTGTTTTGATGTAGGATTCACCGGTGCTGAGTGGCTCTGTTTGGAAGGAAAGGAACCCCGGAAAGCACCGTCGGTCCATCGGCGTTACAAGTACTGAGGTCAGGAAGATTGGCTTGTCAGAAACATCACGAAGGATACGAAGGAGATGTACTCGGAGGAGATGGTGTGAGAGGTTGCCAAGGTAGGAACCTGGCAGTCTTCATACCATCTAGCACCAGTGGATGTATTTTGCTTTTTTGGTTAACCAAGGACAGTCAACATGTTTCCCAAAAAATGAGAATATGTATATATGGTCCCGTGTTCCGTGTTGCTACCCCCCCCCCCCCCCCATATGGTATGGGCCGGCCCGAGACCCCGAGCCCCCGGATCCTGTCACCTACGGTCCCACCCCCACCCCGACCCCCTGAACTCGCACCCGGCAACCCCACCCCCAGGACAAGCCAACCCGCAACCAACCATAAACCAACCCTAAACTAACCCTAAACGAACCCTAAATACCCGTTAAACCAAACCCTAGACCGTAGACCTCTAAACCTAAACCAACTCTAAATCAACATAAACCAACCGTAAACTAACCCTAAACCAACCCTAAACTAACCCCAAATGCACCCTAAACCAATCCCTAAACAATAAACCCTAAACCTAAGCCAACCCTAAACCAACCCTAAACTAACCCTAAACCAACCCTAAAAAACCAAGCACTAAACCGTAAACCTAAACAAACCCTAAACCAACCCTAAACCAACCCTAAATCAACATAAACCAACCCTAAGCCAACCCTAAACTAACCAGAAATACACCCTAAATATACCCTAAACCAATTCTAAACCAACCCTAAACCACCACAACCCAACCACAGGACCACAACCACAGGGGGGGGGGGGGTACTTGTCTGACCCATGACCATTGGTGGGGGGGGGGGGGCTGGCAACGCTGTACCATATATATATATATGTATAATATATATATATATATATACACTTCTCTTTTTTGCGGGGCTGTCACACCTGGACAATTTAATGTCCAAATTGCCTGTCTGAGGAGTGTTTTTTTTTTTCCGCTTGAACAGCAGGTTGTGTTTAACTTTGTTTTTTTCACATGGCTGTAAGGCTTTTGGGCTATAAGGGGTGCGCCTTTCGTTCAATACCCTGTTCAATAGGAATTCAACAGATTGTTGGCTTGTCGTTCAATACCTGTCATCCTGACAATCAACTATTTTAGGAGATTGGTCTAAATAGTCAGCAGAGTTTCTAAAACGGTGCCACACACACACAGTCACACGGTCTGCTGCCGCACGTAGCACCCCACTCCCAAGCATTGGCGCTAGCGATTTGACATTCACATTTCTTTTCTACCGCAGCCTTTCAAGCTGCTGTTCAATACCTATTGAACATCACGCCGTTGCAAGGGCACGTTCAATAGCGGGGATTTACGAGGGTTTGTTCTGCTAAAATAGCAAGATGTTTCTTTGAGCGTAGGATGCAAATCACGTCCATCGCTTTTGGATGATTTTGGATCAATTTTTGCATTGTTGTCAGAAGTTGACGCCATCTCTCACGCAAGTGGCAGATGAAGTAGTGAGCTGCAGGGTTCCTTGTGTCCCAACAGCTTTGCGACAGCCACCTCTCCATGGGCTCCTCAGGAGGACAGAGGGAAAAGGTGCCAGAGAGAAAGGCTGCTTGTCTCCCTCTGCCCCTGCGCCCACGGAGCATGTAAGCTTCCAAGCTTCCATTCGGCAGGGTTCCTTTCATATCCCCCCACCTCCCCTTGTTGATGGGTGTAAGCATCACCTGGGCCAATGTCAAGCGAGATTCCCGTAATGCTTACCCCATAGTGTGCTTTGGTTGAGTGAGGAATCAGACCACTTTTGGAGGGAAACACCCCCATATGTATAAACTGGGGTTGATTCAATATGGGGTAGGCACTATGGCTCGGTAGGGGAAGTATTGGGAACCCTGTCACTCGCGGACCCAGAGCCGCGGCCGCGCGCCAAGTCCGCATCGCCCAAGGCGGCGCGGTGAAAACCAGAACCCGGGGCCGGAAGCAAGACGTGGCATATCCATGCCTGTTTGATCCTTTTTGTAGGATGAGGTTTCACGTGCCCTGCCTAGAGATTCTTTCGGTAGTAAAGTATCGAGTTCTCGCAGTATGGTTGGGCAGTGATGTGCTCGTGTGTTGGCCTTGCTGTTGGATTCATGCGTTTGTCTTGTGCGTGCATGTTGCTTGGTTTGGCGCAATCGCCGCTGCCTTGCAGAGGACTCAGAGGGCTGGCTGTTTTGTTTATCAACGGAACCCCTTGCCAATGCTCACTGCCCGCTGCTCAAGCAGATGGGTTCTGGTTCTGTCAGCGTGCGAACCGATTTTCAGAGGCGGCATGCCCTTTAGCTCGGCTAGTGCGCCGATGCGAAAGAGACTGCCAGGCTGCCAGGTATTTCTGCGTTCTTCTTTCTTTCGGGCGCGTGGGGGGGGGGGGTTCAAATATTGGGTACACAGGGTAAGCCAACAAGCACTCCACGGTTCTTTAACAAAAACATGGGAAGCAGTTCAAATTCTGAGACGACCAAGGCAACAAATTGGATGGCCAACAACCGAGTTTTCATGACACCTCGTGCCAATGTTCTTGAAGGCATGTGGATGTACGCAACTGGCCAGCGTGCGGATGACATGCAGGGGGTTTCCTAAGATTGGTTGAATGCAAATGAATGCACGTGGAGCCTGAAAGATTGAAAGTGACACATCCCCTCTGAACTAGAACCATTTGTTCGTCAACCAGGGTTTCTGGATGATCTGACGCCCGTTAGACTGGTAGAAGGCGGCGTCTCCGCATGGATCATGGATCCACTGAACACCTTGCATAGGGTCGGCAGCTGAAGATTTCTTTTGGAATCCAGATGCGCCATGCGAAGCTTTTGTTTTTTGGGTCGCAATGCCCCTTTTACCGTTTCTTTTCTGGATACTAAAACAAACTGCAGAAAAAAGAATTGGTACCAACTGATTCTATCCTCTCAAACCTGGAGGACCTAGGACATGAAATTAGCGAAGATGAGGCCCAAATTTCAAGGAGGCTGTTACCAAAAGTTCTCCTCGTGGCACGCGAAAAGTGTTTTTTTCTTTGGGCTCGCCATGTGGATCCTTCTCCCCGCGCAGGCCACCGAACCCCTCGCCTTGGGCCAGGCGCCAGCTGCTGAGCGCCATGGACTCCGGCGCGGTGCCGGAGATCCCCGGGCGCGGGCCTCGGCGCTTCGAAGTTTGGGCCCGAAATGGGCTGGGCGGGGTGGCGCTGGCCTGAGTCACTGAGGGCGCAAGGAAGGGGCGAGGGGTTCGGATTGCTTTTTGTGCTTTTCTTGGATTGCTTTTTTGTGTTTCTTTCCCCTTGAGTTGTTTGCTTTTTTCCCCCTTGGATTGCTGTTTGGTGTTTGTCCCCTTGAATTGTTTGCTTTTTGTTTCCTTGGATTGCTTTTTTTTTTGGGGGGGGGCGCCTGCTGACAGGGCTCTCACGATTTGTGTGGCTTTGGCACGCCGCTGATTTGTAGTCCGGGCTTGCAGAAGCTGTACATGGCTGACTTGCGATCCAACGATCAACCCGTGGCTTTGCCGTGAAAGCCAAGGGAACCCCTTCCAGAAAGGGGGTGGGGGGGGCGCATTTTCCCTAGGCCCGGGTATTGTCAACCTCAGGAAAGACTTGTGGCCTTGACTCGTGTGACATGGTCAAAGCCGTAGTCCGGGGTTGTGTGGCATGTGGCCACGTTTGGGGGTCCTGCCCACCGCCTTGAACCAGTGCAAAAGCCTGAAAGAAGTGAAAGTGATGTGTAAACAGCATGCTGCGCAGGCGCTGTTGCCAGGCACCAGAAGGGAAGGAGCCACTGAGCCACAGGCATGCTTGGCAACAGCTGTACCTTAAATGGAGTGAGGATTAGTGAGGTTTGCTCAAATCAGCCAGGCACTCGGTTGGCAGCCCCTTGCATCTCAGGCATTTAAGGTGCTTTGCTAGCAGGTGATACTGACTACCATTCGCGGTCCGTTGGCTGAACAACGGCCTTGGACCTTTGCCGCATTTGTTGGCTTCGGCCAATGCAAGTTTGTTCTAGAGCCTCTTCGAACAGCTGATCCAATAAAGCCTCGTTAAACAACAAGGAAGAATCAAGCAAATGGCGTTTCAATTGGACTTGAATTCGAGAGGTCCTTGGTCCTATGGTGGATAGACGATTTGTTTGCACCACCTAAGAACCCCGTGTTTCGGATGATTTCCCTAACACACAGTGATTTCAACCACGGTTTCATTCAGTGGTGCAAAATGACAATTTCGTCCATTCACAGTTTGTGGTTTTCGCCGCCCAAGATCCTGGCTCCAATGTGTCAAAACAACCGGTTTTCCTGTTCACTTGTGGTTTGCTGGTACGTTGGAACCCCTGGTTTTTGGGGACTGGGGATTGGTTGGTTAGGGGTCTTATTTCGTGGCTTGTTTGCCCCTAAGACCACTTGCCCGGGCGCAAGGCTCGCGCCCAAATCACAATGCACTCAAGCCCGCCGGACAGCGCCCGAGGTTGGTTGACGACAGGGTGGACTTGAACCTGGGCATCACTGGCATGCGGGCGCCCACCGGGCCGTCAGGCGCGGGCCTTGAGTTGATGGAGCCATTTCCGACTTGTTTGGAATCTCCAAAAGCGATTGCAGGCGATTGCTTCAGTGAAACATGGTTGTTATTGGGAAACAGTTTACATTTGTGCGTATTGTAGTTTAGCGGGAAATCCCCACCTAACTGTAAAAAAAAGCATGTTTTTTTGCTCCCCTTCCAACGTCAACCAAGGAAAACCAGGAAAATTGATCAAGTAACATGGGTAAATCCAGTGATCCCCCGTGGGACTTGTCATCCGCAGAACTGGAATCTACCAGACGTTCCAACAATCGACAGCGCGCGGCGATGCGGAATACGTTGCCAGAAGCTAATCCAGAGCAAAGCTATGGGAAAAGTAAGCTTCTGGGTCCGGATGCAGAAGCCACATAATTATCAGGCTGATTCAAAGAAACCACGGGCTACTTTTTTTTAATTATTTGTTTTTTTTGGGGGGGTCGCCCTGTTACAACCCTTAAAGGTGTAGCCCTTTTCGAGAGGCGGGCTTTGTTTGCAAACAAGAAGTGCGACTGCAAGCTCGAACTCGATAGGGAGTCCTGTTTTTTTGGCAAACTGACGTAGGCTGCAAATCAAACGAGATGTATGTGGTGTTTGTGTGGGTGGGTGTGTTTGTTTGCTTGCTTACTTGCTTGTTTGTTTTGCATGAGGGGCACACATTCCAAGTGCACAATCCACATGTTGAATAGGCACGCTGGCCGCGTTTGACTGCTGTGCTTTGCAAGTAATGTCAGCTTGCACAACTTTAAACTGAATACTGCAGCTTTATGCTGGGTGTTGTTTACCGCCAGACTTTGTCAGAACGCGGCAGTTTTGGTGATGAGCTGTTGCGCTTTCTGCATGCTCACTATACTTCCATCTCGACTGGTCAATGAGTTGCAACCTACAGGCAAGCGAGTGGTTGCCTCGTATGTAGAATTGACCCGAACTCCTTCAACACAAACGTGTACCACACGGATGGTCTCCAGGACATTGGTTTCATAGTGCCTTCTTTGGATGCTTCTTTTCAGAACATGTGTGTTATTGTGTGTGGTTTTCTTTTGCTCCACCACCATTTCCTATAGCGCTCTCTGCAGAAGGAGCGCGCTTTTCGCGCTCCCTGCGCGAGCCTGAGTCTCCGAGCACTCGGGTGAGAGGTGCCTGAAAGCTGCCTGTGAGTCGCGGGGGTTGGAAGCCTGAGCCAAGGGAAGCCCAACCATTCAGAGAGCCCAATCAGGAGGTTGCCAGAAGCCAGTTGACCAAGACACGTGTTTCTTTTTATCTCTTTTTTTCGCCTTTCAACACCAGCCAACATTTTGTGAGCCACAACCAAACAAAAACGTAAAGAGTTTTTCGGAACTCCGGCTTTCTAATTCTTGAAGCATGGTTCTGGGTTCACCATTTTTGTACCGATCGGTTTTGATTGTGACTCACGTGCCGTCAGACGTGCTGCTCGCACCCTGGCATAGCCCGTCAGCCCGAGGTCGAAGGACGAGGGCGCGCTGTCTCGGAGGTCCAGATCCGGCTGGGAGCCCGGAAGGGCTATGCTATGACTGCCCACCTAGGGGGCAAGTGGGGAGAGGGGTGATTCTATTCCACGGGTTCAATGGTATGTGTATCAATATATATATATATAAACATATGCAGGACAATTGGGCAATTGTCCTTGGGCATTCCAAGGTGCAGCAATCTGTTTTATCGACTGTTTTCCTTGGGGAAACAAAACGTGAAACCTGGTTCCACACAGCCGACGACGTTTCAGGTAGCGTTGGAGGTGGGCCTTGGCTCAGCCCTGTTCGGCCCCCAGGATCTGGCAGCCCAACGCAGCGGGACGGCGTCTATGTGCCGCCGTGTCCAACTGAGGGGTGGGGCGCCGGGGGGGGAGGCGGGGGGGGCGCAGGTGGAAGCTTGGCGCATTCAGATGCGCTGGGCCGAAAAGCTGCGTTGCTTTGCTTTTCTTGTTTTCGGTGGCCAACATTTTTGGGACTCCGCCCATCCTTTGGGCAAGCGGCAAGCGCCCGACCCACCTCGGTTTGCCTGGCCAGTCCTTGTTTCAAAGGGTAGCCTCCAACATGGAAGCTGACGATCGGAGGGGCTTGGACAAGACGACTTTCCTTTGGAGAAACCCCATGGTTCGAGGGGTTGATTCCAATTCCATTCTTTTCACCCATCGTTTTCAAAGAACAATCGCAATTTTTGCAGGGCTTGTGGTGGTTTTCTAGAAAGATCCGGGTCCCTGAAAAGAATGGAATTGGAAGGTAGCCCTAGAATGTGCTTTGTTGCATGTTGCCAAGAAAAATGTTAGGACTGGTCCATTTTGCCTGTTGCATTTTGCTAATTCGAATGGTCCACTTCCATACGGAGCTCGTCGGGTGACTCGCTCGCTCGTGACTCGGTGACTCGCCCTCGATCCTAGGCACGAGCGGCCCATGCCCAAGGGCCAGCGCTATGATCCCTCGCAGGCGAACCGGGCAAAAAGTTTCGCGAAAGACGTGCACATGGTTGTCGTTGGGAAACAAATTTTGTATTTTTGCTTATAGTGGTTTAGTGGTTGAGATCCACACTTAACTGCGAACAAAATATATTTTGTTGCTCCCCTTCCAACGTCAACCAAGTGCAAGTGGGCAAATTTTCGGCATAGGAATCGCTGAGCTCTCCTGGAATGTTCTTGAATAGATGTTCTTGAATATGAACATGATCCATGTGATGAGCATCATCCATGTGATGAACATGATCCATGTGATTCAGTTTCTTGGATTCCTAGAAATCAACACTCGAGGCAGCCAATGTGGTTCAGAAGGCCCAAAGAACCGGGCGCTTGCCCCCCACGAGAATTGATGGGATGGGCACCCTGTGACTCCGGTTAGGGTTATTCAATCTGGAGTGACTCCATGAACTGTGGACAACTTGATCACCTTTGCCAGTGGTTTCCATGCCAATACCTTAGTATGAGGGCAGAACTGAGCACGAACCCTTTAGTTTGTTGGCTTTGTCTGGTGTGCGACTTGTCTCTTTAGGGTGTTCGAAACAGACCAGTGATGTGTTCTTGCGGGAGTCAGTCAGTCAGTTTTCTTTCTGCGCAAGTCGTGCTGAACTTAGAGGCCCACTTTCATGGGACTTGCAGCGCAAAGTCAGCCTGGCATCTGAAATGGGAAGGTGCCAAAGCCAGGACCTCCCCCACCCCAACCCCCCTCCCCCCAAAAAATGGAATCAAAAGTAACAAACACAATCAGCTGGTGTCATGCATATGTCATGCATTGTCTTCTGATACCCCTCCCCCCTCCAAAGGATTCCGCAGCCAAATCGTCCGGGCCAGGATCAGAACTACTTGCAGCAACTGCAGCAGCGCCTTGGCGAGCGCGGCCAACTACGCTTTCGCCATCCTTGGGCTGGGCCTTTGTAAAATGCCATGGGACACGCTGCACGCGTATGGAAGATTTGCCAGTGAAACGTGTTCTTCTTTGGATGCGAACATTACCCAATGAAAGCACAGAAAAATCATTGCCGCGGCCTTTCCATACCGTATACCCATTTGTCAGCCCAATCCCATTGGTCGCTGGAAGATTTTGGTTTTGCCGACTTGGCTCAACTGAAGTCTTGATTCAGCATTGCGCCGACTTCAATCTGCTCCAAAGATCCTACGACATCAACATTCCCGACTCATTTTTTCAGCCATGCATGAGTCCCAAACCTTTTTTTTTGGCGGCAGCTTTATGAATAGGGATGGTTGTTGCGCTATGTACTACCCTGGATTGGCCCCTGTACTCTACACCCAATGTACACTTGGTTATATGCCAACCTGACCAATTGGAACCAGCTTAAACTCATCGCGCAGAAACAGTTGGCCGAGGCTTATGCCGATGCGCTCACACTTTGGGGCGTTGTGTCTGCTAGTTTTTTGGATGCAGAAGATGAGCCAGTTGTTTAACCTGACTTGGGGCAAACCCCATTGTGGTCCAACACAGTTATGTGAGTGGGGCGATAGAAACAAGATTGGAACATGGTTTGGCAGTTGGGGCCGGTGATTTTTAAGCTCTGGGGCATACCGGGGGTGAAGAAGCCTGTGACCCAGGCAACAGGTTTACCCCTGACCTTGACTGGCCATTTCGATCTTCAAGCCAAAGGGCTGGTTTTTGGACAACCCGATTGAACTCTTTGTGTGGTTTGTGTGTGGCTGCCTTGCGTATTTGGGGCAACGACCGTTGGCTGGCATGGTGAAGAGTCTCTTAAGTCCTGGCGCACCGTCCTCAATCCACGTAGTCCGGCAAAAAGTGACTGATTTGGGCAATCCAGTCCTTCCATTTGGCTAATATTTTTTGTTATTATTTTCGCCTGTTGATTTCAAAGGAAATTCATCACTACTGGACATATATATTTTTTGCAGGGACTTAAGCAAATGGAGGAGTCGCCTCGCTTGTGAGCCCATGTGTGGTGGCTGGTACCTCCCTGAGGATCCAGCAGTCCAAAGAGACTGCGACAGCGTCCGCGGCCCAGGGCACAAATTGCTGGCTGTGAGCAGCTTCACTTCCCCATTTAAGCGTTTTGACCTGGGGGGTAAGCGCTTGCACCCGCTTGTGCACCTGGGCGAAGTTCTAGTCTGCATTTTGGTTGACTCTTTCAGAGATTTCGTGGAAAGACAGCAACTCAGCACACAGATATGTAGTGCCTTTCTATACGTGTATAATCAAACATAGATATATGCAGATGCATGTTAGTCTGCACTCGCGGGAGAGACAGTCCAAGTAGTCAGAACCCTGGGACTGTTCCTACCTCCTTTCGCGGGAAAGCAGTTTCGTTTCCGGGTCGAGGCGGTTGGGGGTGCAGAAGTTCAAGCGAGCGGTGGACATGCTCCGCAAGGCCTTGCCATTGGGCAGGGCGCCGGATCCAGGCACTGATGATCCATTTGTTTTTGTTTTTGTCAGATGACTCTAGGTTTAAAGGACAGATGGTGAGGTAACCACGCCAAATATTGGGGAACAATGCTGAAAAAAGGGTAGCAGCGCCAAGAATGTGTAATGATCTCTTCTTAAAGGAAGCTGCCAGGTGTTTTTGTCCAGACCCCTCCCCCCTTCAAGCCAGGCTCGGCTGCCCCTTGAAAAAAAGATACGTGTGCGGAACAAAATGTCGCATTCTTTGGACACCGGGTACGTTTGTTCCAAGTCGGTCTGGCTGTTTGCCTTCATTCTAGAATCATTTGAACCAAGATTAGTACATTCCTGGTTTTTCAATGTGGCCAAGGGGGCCAAGGGGTGTGCCACTTTGCAGGTGATCCTTCCCTAGGAAAGCACCCTCAGTAGTTTGACTGGTCTCTTCCGGGTTTTCCTAGCTGGCAGTCAGCAGGGAATGAGAAATGGAATGACCCCTACGAACCATCCCCATTCTGGTTTTCGGGAATCAAAACGGTTCAGTCCATGTCTCATTCCCTTGTCGCAACAGCGCGGTCCCCTTTGTTCACAGAAGGACTCGCTCGTGCGCACGTCAAAACTCGCATGGCCGGCCCTGGCCGGCAGATAATTGCCCCATGCCTTCAACCGAGCCCACTGAACCCTTGCCATGATGCAAGATCCTGGCGAAGTTGAATCGCTGTGTTACTTGTCCTAGAAACCGAGGTGTCCCCCTTATCAATCGATGAAACCTATAACTACAACACCTAAAACATCATCGGCTTGGGTTTGAAATTCAGAAGACGGAGGCGTAAAACAGAATCTCGCCCACCCACAATCCAATCCCACTTTGAGTGCAGAGATCGTATCTTCCATAAATGATCCATGTTCGACAAATATTAAGCCCAATCATTTAAAAAGATGTAACATATAAAAGCATATTGTATATTACAAATATACATCATAAAGCACAATATAGTATAATAGACGTTAAACTTATAATAATAAGAATAACTATGATTAGTCATATTAAGTCAAATTAAATAAACAACTTACCTTAGTCATTAAAACACATTGTACTTAGTTAGCAATATCAACTTGCAGCCACGTACGCATTGTGATTGAAGCAAGTCATTAGCACCAACATGAGCGTGGGGTCGTTGAATTTCAGCAACATGCCTTGGAGGCATCAAGCGTTTATGAGCTTTTTAGTGCAACATGTTTCATTGATTTGCCTAAAGTTCTGGGGTAGACTTAGGACACATTTTACATTTTACCAGTGACTCAGGGCCTGAAGCAAAACATAATCTATATATATATATATATATTTCTGTATTTTTCCAAAAACTGGTTGCCTATTAATCATGAGCTGTTGTTTGGCTTTTGTGCCAAGTGAGTGCAAAGTGTCCGAGTGTCCAACCCACACGCTCCCACAGGCTCAGCCAGATGTGAGGGCGTCCCTGTTGCCACCTCAGAATGGCAGTTCGTCGGACCTTCGGCCGTATGATGTACGCTCTTCCGGAGCAACGAAGGGCGGACTCTCGTGGCAAAGTTGCGGCCCAGTAAGATCCAGTAATCAACACTGGCTTAATGCTTGCTGCCTCAAAGGCACTGATGCACTCTATTTGGTTGGGCCGCTTCGGTGCTTGGCCTAGATTGTAAGCCTCCTGGGCTGTTACATTGTAGTCTTGTGATGGTGTTTACGTTGAAGTTCGGTAGGTGATGTGACCTGGATTCTGTTCATTGCCCTCAGCATTGAGTGCAATATGGCCCAGCAGACATGTTTTGAGGGGGCACCCCTGTCGGAGTTGTTGAAAAGATGCATCAAAGGGAACCCACCCAGTGCTGGGTTGCACACAGCACTGTGAAACAAATGCGCTGTGCATTCGATGCGAACACCGAGGCGGGACGCGGACAGGCCAGCAGGGTAAAGGGCGCATCACGGGCTCATGCGGACTCACGCAACACAGTGGATTCATCAACCTGTTGAGTAATAGGAAAACTCAGTTGCCCAAAGCCGACCTTTTGACCTTTTGGTTTTCCCATTTTTAGTCATGGCCCCAAAAGGTTAATTTTAGTTCCAGGTCCGAACTGGGCAACTGAGAAATTGCAAAATTGGCATCCCATCCAAAATTGGCATCCTCTCATCTTTGGGGTTCTGTAAGACCGGTGCCTGCCAACGTCCTTTAGGAAGTCGCCTGTCGTTTGTTGTTTGGCAAGTTTGCACCCAGGGATGCAAGCTGCACACTGCGGATGGACCTCCTGCGCGAGTTGGTTGGTGCCAGTATTGGTAAGGCTTTTTCCGTATCTGGCGAATGCATTTCTTGTTGTTGCTCAGTAGGGAATGAGAACTAGAACGACCCCAAGAAAAGCCATCCAGGTGGTTTCCTTTAAGGGTCTCATTCCCCACTGACCAAGCACCAACCAGATTTTAGGGTTTCGCTTCTCTTCATGGATTTCCGAGGGGAACCCGAAAGGACGCCCAGGGGAAACCCACCATGTGTTTACTCTGCCGGGAACTCTCTGAAAGCAAAAATTGGTGATGGATTCATCACCGGTATTGGAGATTGCTTAAATTTGCCAGGCGACCGGAGAGGTCCAACAGCCGCGCTTCAGTGATTCCGTCATTTGGCTCTTCAGAACCAAGGGTCAGGGCCAGGGCAGTGGATTTGGTCCCACGCAAGGCTCGTGGCAGGCTTCCATTTGCTGAAATGAATATGTTTTACTGCCCCTGTGGGCTTATGCAAATGGAGGCATTTAGGCCCATATTCCGTGATGAGCAAGTAAAAGCTGCTTCTGGTGTTGGAAGGGGAGGGGTGTGTGGGTGTTTCTCCCAAGTAGTTCTTCAGTTTCCCTTCGAAGCATTTTGCCATGTTTACAAACTGTTGGCCTCATTAGCTTACCTTCGGGCCTGTCATGTTGAAACACAAGTTGATTTGCGACACTGTGTCGCATGCCTATGCGTGTATAACACAGATTGGTTTGCATGTTATGCCATCCGCATTTGATGGGGGAAAGAGTCCAAAGAAGAGTTGCCACAAGGCGCGCCTAACGATAAGTAATAAGCTTCACAGCCCCAGCAACCAGCAGCACTCACAACCATAAAAAAGGAAGGTCTTTTGGGAGAAACCTGGTTTTTGAGGGCATTATTCTTCAAAACCTGGTTTTTTACCCCTGCTGTTGAAAAGCCGGGTTTTCGGGTGCTTGAGGGGTGACCACCTTTGTGCACACCGCCTGGCTCGCGGGGGGGTGCAGGGCAATGAAGGGGATTGTCCAGTACTTCCCGCATCTCGCGGCATTAATCAATTCTGAGTTTGTTGCTCAGGTTCGTTTGGCTTGTGTTTGCTTTCCATGCCTGCATTCTGTTTGCAAAGAGTGTCAAGGGGAACCCTTCCACCAAAAAAGGAAGAAAGGGCGCCAGTGGGCAACAGAGCTAGGGGGACCCTTAAAATTGCTGAGCTTCCTGATGCAGCAACCGAGAAGGGAGAGCTTCTCATTGAAAGATACAGACCCACGAAATCATGTTCAGCCAGCAAAGGTTTGTTTGCACTGACTCGCTTTGTTTACAAGCTGAATGGATCCTGACAACGTCACGCGCGAGCGATTCAAAGCGGCCCCCAAAGATTGAAGATGTGGCACTGGGAGGGCCATCGCAAGTATGCCTGATCTGAGGCCAGGCCAAGAGAGGTCCAACAGCCGAGCTTCAGTGCTGCCTGTTGGCTGCAGTAGTCTCCACATGTCTTCACCTGGTTTGCATGGCGCAGATTCGTGTGGCCTCATTCTTGCTCCAAGATGATTGGTCGACACACATATTGTTTGGGACATTTTTGCGGGGGTCCAACGAAGGATCTCCAGGCCATGTGGCATGTTGCTTTTCTCCGAGGTCGCGGCCCGACACCTTCAGCCGACCGGTGCCAGCGCCCCTTGGTGAAGAGAGCTGGGGGTTGATGGCGTGCCGGGTTGCTGCAACCAAGTGGAAAGCTGGAAGGATATGCGGATATGCCCTCATTCATGCCATGTTGCTCTTGGCACGCTGCCTCTGGTGGACGGCTTGCCAATGGCGCGGCAGAGAAGTGAGAGAGAAGAGATGTTGAGCCCAAATCATGTTGGACACGACAGGCATCGTGTGCTTGTGAGGTAAGATGTCGATGATGCCATGGCAGGTCAGCCCCATTTGACCCCCCTGATCCCCCCAAGAAAGGACGGTTGATCTCTAAATGCGGCAAGAGGAGCCTTCCGTCGCGAGGCCAGCCTTGGCGCGGCTGCGGCAGACGGTGAAGACCGCCTGGGGGCCCAATCAATCCGTGCTGAGACGCCCGCGTTGCGCGCGAGGGGGGGGGGGGGTGGGGGTGGGGGCCGCGTGTTTTTGGCCGACGTGGAAAAGGAGCGGAGTTTCCGATGGATCAGGTCCAGCAGACCCTCAGGGGCACCGTGACCGAGCCGAAGCCGCGCCCTCAGGGCCGAAGCCGGGCCTGACTCGTGTTTGGCCAAAGAAAGCCCGAGGGCTGAGGGTAGGAGCTGGTTGGCAAGCCTTCAGCGAGATCACACCATTTGCCCCGGCGTTGCGAGAGGGACATTCGGCAATCCTCACTTGAGGCCCCTCCAGGCTCCCAAATGTCCAGCCGAACGAATTGCAACACTGCAACGAATTCACGTGCAGTGTTAGCCCTTATTATTTGTTGGTGGGGTGCGCAAACCTATTTGTGTACAACTCCTTGGTATGAAGAGCACGGTTCATGGTTTCTTTTCCCAACAGCCCATGGCTGGGCAGGCCTGCATTGCATTTCATACATGCACCATTTGAGTTGCTAGTGGTTCCTCAGATTGTTGCGTTTGTCCCAGCCGCTTTCTCACTAAGTCGCCGCACAAGCTCCAGCACGCTGGGAACTGAGACATGCCAGAAGAACATCAGCAAGAGTTCCTGGGATCTTGTGCGGCACTTCTTAAGTCGCAGAGGTTTTTTTTTGGAGGTCTGCCAGTTTTGTCTTCAAAAAGTCAGAACCCTGAATGGTGTCAACGCGATAGCTCTGCTTTCGCCCTAACTGTGGGCCTGGGGCCTCTTGGATGGGGGGCAGCTCATTTTCCTGAAGTCATTTTTGGGAGTAGACGCCCTCCCACCAGTTGACATGGAACCTGACAAGCAAACGACAAGGGTCTTTGCAGGACTGCCAGGTTTTTTTCTTCGTGAATTGGTGGGAGGAGGTTTCTCTTTTTCGGGTTCCGCGTTTCGCAGGGAAACCGTGCGTGGCTTTCCTTGGCGCCTGGTTGGTCTCCTGGCCAAGGTTTCGGCAGCGCCTAGCGTGAGAGGCCCAGGGGGTGCAAAGGAAGCCAACAGGAAAGCCAACCAGACTTTTTTTTTGGTAAGGGGGTTCCCCTACAAAAGAGACGCATCATTCAATGTGCCACATCATTCAATGTGCTTGTTTTGGTGCGTGTGTGTGTGTGTGTGTGTGTGTCTGTGTGTGCTTTTTTGCATAGTTGCTTGTGTGGGGGTTGTTTAAATGGCAAGTCGCAGGGACCGCATCCATTTTGCGAGCCCCCCCCCGTTAAAGCACGCCATGTGGTTCACCGCAACGTCCTGCTGAAGCCTTGATGGACAGATCGTGCCCTCGTTGCGTCGGTTCGTGGCAATTGCGCAGGCTGCTTTGCACTGCATATTTCATTCTAGGTCCCCCAGTGGTGCCAGGGTTCCCCTACTAAAAAAAGGGCACCCTTATTCTAACCTCTCTACTGGAGGACCTGGCATTGTTTTTGTTTTTTCTGCGCTGGCCATTTCCTAGGTCCTTTGGCGGCCTATTTAAGACAAGCCTCATGGCTAAGGCCTGTGGACGCTGTAGCGTGGGGTGCCCCGGGCCTCCAAAAGCCACGTTTGATGGGGGCCCCTGGTAAAAGGTATCCGGCGAAAACTGCCTGCCATCGCGCCAGCCACAATTTTGGAATGTTTTGGGCCAGGGCAGGGGCAAGTGGCTTGACTTTGCTGGCTGCTCTCTTGTCCACGCTTGTCCGCCTGTTAATCATGAACACGCCGGTTTCGCAAAACAAACAACAACGGGCCTTCTATCCAAACCCATGTTTGCACGAGCAGCACGAAAGCTCAACAGAACGCTGAAGTGGATCTCTCTCCCTTCTTTTTTTCCCCCGACTATGTGTCCATGTGCGGCTCCCCTCGTTTTTTTTTTTTTTAAAGGTTCCTGATCAGTTGTCGCGAGTGGCCCGTTGAATGTCTTTAAAGCTTGTTCAAGCCACTGCTGTTTATACAACCCCAGTAGATCCCCATTACCACTATATGTCCCTTTTTGGTTTTAAAGGGTGGGGTTGTGTTGGTTTCCTATAGGCGTAAACGTAATCACTGGGAGTATTGTTTTGGTTTGCCCTTTTTGAAACAAGTGACGGACAGATCTCCACATTCGAACAACACATGCTTCTTACAGTAGCTTACCGGATCATCAGATCATTGGTTTCCCACTGTTTGGTAGGTTAAACCCCATCTGTTTTCTTGGTGGCTCCCAGCCATCCAGCTCCTTAGTTTTTTCAAGCTTTTGGGTGTTGAGTGGTCCAGTGGTTCCATTGCACCCACTAAAAGTGGTTCACTTTTCGCCGGGGGATCTGAGGGCAGCGCAGCTTTTGGTTTCCCTTGAAACGGATTGCGTGGCTTATTCTGCTTCAGGCCAGAGAAGTTCTCCAGCACCTGGCCCTTGCCTGCGGCCTAAATCATGCTGGTCTCTTTTTGTTTCTTCTCCCGCGCCCTCCGGGTGCATTCCGATTTGGTGGTTTGGTGGTTGATGGAAGTGACCAAGCAAACGATCGCCGGTTTGGACTGCACAGATTTGGTTTTGGTGGTTTCAAAGGGAAATTATGAAGGGGAAGATCAGACTCCATCTTGGAGTCTGTTCGGCACACGCGTCTTGATGGCCAAGTTGGTGTCAAGCAGTTGTGAGGGAGATAAAGAGAGAGAGAGAGAGAGAGAGAGAGCGAGAGCGAAAAAGAGAAAGGGAGAGAGAGAGCGAGAAAGATAGAGAGAGAGAGACACAGAGGGGGCGAGGTGTGTGTGTGTGTGCAGGAGTGGTTGGACCGACTGCATGCATTGTGGAATCTTAGCAGTGTCCTTTGTTGTTGTATCCTTCGGGATGCTGTACCGTGAGGCACTCCATTCCTGGCATGTGCCCCTTGGAGTTTGACCAGGCCCTTCTTGGACAGAAAGGGTGCAGGGGCCTACTGTCAACATGATGCACAATGGTGAGGCGGGGGTAAACCTAGGTTCTGAGAAGAGTAATTGCCTTGTACAATGTGTCTTTAAAGTTGCATTTCGGTGGGCTTTTCACCAGATATGTAGATATATGTGTTATACATTTATATGTATACTCGTACTTATGTATACATATACATATATACCTGGACCTTCCAACGTGCCTGAAATTTCTGCCTCCCCTGTCACTCGGCTGGTTTGTGGAATTTGTACCTTTGTTTCTTGGCTTGTTCTTTTTTTTTGGACCTCGAGCAGTTTTGGGAGGCATGTGGGTTGTCAGGTCCTAATATGACCTACTTGAGCAGAAGTTGTGGGCAAAAACGCCCGCAACAGCCCGCCAAAAACGAGCGCAAAAACCTGCAAACGAGCGCAAATTTGAGAAGTGCCCAATTGAACATATAAACCTCGGGCACTTTTTTAGAAATTGAAGAATGAGCGGAAACTGTGTGTTCGAGCAAAAAAAGCGAGCAAAAAAGAAGGTATCACTGGAAGGTCCGGGCATGTGTAATCCCTTCCCCCTAATAATAAACGACGCCCCCCCCCCCCCCTCCCTAATAAAAAAAATACCCGGCCTGCAAAACAATTTTTATTATTAGGGGTCCCCTGGTTCTGGAGGGCAGGTTTTGGAGGTACTTCTTGTTCTGTGTAGGCTTGTTTGCAACTGTGGTCCCCCTGTTCCGTTCCGTAAAATCGCTTCAAACGCACATTTCTGAGTAAGGAGTTTAAATAGCGGGAGTTGAGGTCACGTTTTGTTGTTTTTGGTTGTGGGTTTTGGGTCACTCGGATTGAGGGAGAGAGAGAGAGAGAGAGAGAGAGAGAGAAAAAAAAAAAGAGAGACGTTTGAAGCCACGGCACGCCTCCACGGTAGCCGTCTCGTGCTACCCTTTGCTTTTGGGGAGCTTTTGGTTGTAGGCACCCTTTGACCTTGACCACCAGCCTCTGTAGCTAATTAGTTAGTTGGCACAGCCTGCCGGTCTCAAAGGAAACGTACTCCCGGAGCTCTGGCTCGAAAGTCGCAACTTTGTAGTACAACCGTAGTAAAGGAAACGTGCTCCCGGAGCTCTGGCTCGAAAGTCGCAACTTTGTAGTACAGCCGTAGTAAAGGAAACGTGCCCCCGGGGTCCCCCTAATGGGGCTGGATTTGAGTACGGGCAGGAAAATATCTACTTTAGAATAGGTTTAGCATTGGCTATTCTAAAAGTAGTATTCCCGGATTTGGGACTTCCGAAACAAATATTTATTATTAGGGAGACCTTTATTAATAGGGGGAACGGATTCTATTATGTGTGTGTACCCAAAGTGCGCGCCATGACTGGACCCCAGTGTTTTCAAATTCTGGCCCTGGTGCAGCCAGGCAAAGTGTTTGTGACACCCAAGGTCAGACAAGCTCAAGCCAGACGGGCCCGATGCCCAGGGAAGATGTATGTTGGGCCTCATTTTGGGAGGCGCGACTCGCCATGGAAAGTGAACAAAGATCGGATGACTGGCAATGGGCTTGGAGGATCGCTCAATCAGCGTTATGTTTATTTTGTTGTGTGGGTTAGCATGCCCGCCCGCCCAAAAGCAGCCATTTTGCTCCATCACAGTTTCTCAAGGCCGACCTTTTGACCTTTTGGTTTTCCCTTTTTGGTCCATTCTTAGTCATGGCCCCAAAAGGTGAACCTTTTAGTTGTGGGCCGTTTGGGCAAGTGAGACATGTAATGTTCAAGAGCAGTTCTGATCTGTTGCGGATACGTGACCGTGAGCCAAGACGTCTGAATGGTCCACAAGCAAAAGGCGAGCCCTTGCGAAGCGTCAACTCCAGCCTTCCTCTGGAATCGAGGCTTCCAGATTTGCACTCTCAACCCTATGGTTTCTCCCCTTTCATGGCAATGGTTGCCCCAGGATTGGTACGATCCTATGGCACGTCTTTGGGGTGCCTTGGGGGTTGTGTTACTCAATGTCAACCCCGGATGAATAAACCCCTGGTTGATTAATAGGGGGGTGTGGGATTCATCACTTTTGGCGGGGTTTTCACCCCCCTCATGGGACGGGTCTACTTAGATCCTGGGTCAACATTGTAGGGGAAGCCTACGCGAACCTCCCGTGACCACCCAGGTACGTCAGCCCTTCATCGCCCAAGTCGCCCAAGTCGCCAGTGCATGGGGCCGAGCACACGGTGTGCCCACAGCACACGGGCGCCCATCGGCGTAGGTGGACTGATGGACCTGTGCATCTTGTGTAACAAACTCGTCCTTCATTGCGGGATTTCTTGGTGTCTTCTGGCAATGCCTGCTTGTCTGATTGGTTGCGTGTTGCAAACCCAAGGAGCCCCCAAAGACGGAAACCCACTGGTGATATCTACAGTTGGCGCAACACATGCTCCCCTGATACGAGCATATATGAGCTTGGAAAGGTGACACATGCTGCAGTTTGTTTTGCTTTCACAGTTGCTGGAACGCTATCAACACCAAAGCTTCGCACTGTGAAACAAGAAGCAAAACGGCGAATGACCGTAGAGTTAGTTCATCATGGACTGCTTTCACATCTTGAACAACCACTAAAGCCAGTTTATAGATATTCTTTGCTAACTGGTGCTGCGGTGCATCAGGTGGCTCATCCAACATCCTTGATTGGGTTACCTATGATTTGGACATGCCTCTCCCGAGAGGCGTTACCAAACCTTAGTGCTTGTTGGACGGGGCCATTTTGGGGGCAAAGGGTTAAAACAAATCCTGCCGGGCTGAAGGGCTGAAGGCTGCAATGGAACCCGAATGAGATTCCTTTCTCGCTGACTTTGACAGTTAACCAGGAACTCTAGAATCGGCCCCCAAAAGCCAAACGAAACCTGTTCGGACACATGTTGTTTGTTTCAACAGCCCCGCGGTGAGGCTTGACAACCTGACCGCGTCCATTGACGTGCAGCCTCAGCCCCACATTCTTGCGTCTGTCAGGCTGGAGGCATGTTTGTAACATGGTCCCTTCTTGACTGCAGCTGCTATTGGGTTGGATCTTTAAACTTTTTGGGACATCAAGTTGGGTTTTCCACTAACCCCCAAACAGTTATTCACTTTTTGCAGGGGGGTCGTTGCAGCAACCAAGCCCTCAAAGAAGCCGTTGCCTGTTCTGACTCAGCACTTCGCACGTTCAGTTCGGTGCTCATGCGCACGGATTGGAAGCTGTGAGGTCTTTGGCTCCAAGCCCAGGGGGATAGAGTAGGAGCCACCCCCACCAGAGGCATGCCCATCCGGTTCTGTATTTCCGACCGGTGTTATGGAAAGGAGCAAGTCGTCGCGAGGAAAGTGGATTGCCTCGAAGGAGAACCATCAATTGCGAATGAGTGGGTTGAAACCAATGTAGCTCCCCGCTCCTGCTTGTGGAAGCAACCACCCGCTGTTTTCCGCCAGTCTCGATGTTGTGAAAGACACAACTCTTCGATCAAAAGAAATTGTCATGTCCGCGAAGGCCTGCCTATCGAAATGGTTCGCCCTACAGCATCACATAAGGTGTTTTTCTTTTTCTCTGGTTTTAAATGGGTTCTATCACTTCTGGACATATTTTTATTATTTTTCTGAGGGGTCCTAACCACATGCAAGATGACCATGATTGCAGCCCCGGGGCAGATTCGCATCTCCCAATTCGGCCAATTCCGCCTCGAAGCCAACCGAATTTTCCTGAGGTCCTACACGCCCGCGAAAGCAAGCGTCGGGTCAGGCTCTTAGATCCGGATCTCGATGTGGTTGGCGCCCTTGGTCTCCCCGTGGAGAAATCGCCAACCAGATTAGTCAAAGGGTGTCCCCGAACCCTCAAAGTTCCTTTGAAATAAAATATCGCCCAAGATTCTGGGGTGAATGTCTCTTTCTTTTTGAGGTTTGTTGTAAGGCTAGTTTGAGGTGGAGGTCCCTTTTCTTGCCGAAGTGACACCCTTTTGGGATGAAAGATGCTTACCCACACCCCACTTACGCCGTAGTCAGGTGTGTTAAAACCCGGGGTGTCGCTTTGAGGCTGGCTGCGAATGGAAAGGAACGTGAGTACAACTTGTGTCAGGCCCTAAAATATTTCAAGTTACACTTGTCACGATCTGTCTGACTGGCTGCCTGCTTTGGAGTTCCCAAAAACCGAATCTTTTGGGAGCCAGAGCCAGAAAACCCAGCAACAAAAAATGGGCCAGGCCTGTTTTGAATGGCGTTTCACCAGAAGCCCACCGGAGGCCATCATGTGTTCAAGTGGGCCGCTGTTTTCGGAGATGCCCGACCCTTCAGCCTTCCCGAACATTGCGTGTCGCTTCGCATACAGCCTCCATGTTGGGCGGGAGGTCATTTCAGCCAATGATTGAAGCAAGAGTCCCAACAATGGGAGCATACACCGTTGTTTTTGCGCCAGATGAAAAATAAAGCATGTACTAGTTCTCAGGGTGTTTGTTGTGCACCCTTCTGCCCCCTGATCATTTGCTGGACGATGCGTGAGAAGGAAAAATACAATGAAAGATGTGCTTAACACCCAGCACGCCAGTGTGTGCGAAAATGTGGGACTCCCCTCCTGCTAGGCTTCAGCAGGGGAGTTGAAGTTGGCACAACTTGAAACTTGCTGGTGCCGGGCTCACTCTCCCTTCAATAAATGCCCGAAGGGCGTAGACATGACTTGGCCAATCAACACAATTGGTGAGCTCGCCATGGGAAAGTGCAAGGTGTGGTTGGGTCGCGTCTAAGGCTTCCAGACTCGCGGGCTACCACCGCTGATAGTGGTGGGCTGGGAGCTTGGAGGTGTCTTTTTCGGGGGCTCGACAGGCAACATGCGGTACTGCCCTGGTTTGACTTGTCGCTGGGTGTTATAACTTACGGCCAGTCACCAGTCACGCCTCCAAGGAGCCTTTGACGTCCCCGCATGCGAGCAAATTGGGAGTGAGGGGTGGGTCGGTGTCTTGGTCACCGCCTTGTTGGGGCTCGCTCGATGAGGCGGCCGGTCGGTCCTGTGGTGGTGGTCGGTTTGGGCCTTAGCCTACAAAGGCAGGTCGGTCGGTCGGTCGGTCTGTCTTGGTGGCGGGCGGTTTGGGGAAGGCAGGTTTGCTGGGTTGGTGGTGAATGATTTAGGTTTGACTGCAGTGGTTGGCCTACAAAGGCAGCGGTCGTTGTTGTGGGTGCTGCTTCTAGCGCTGTCACCGTTGGCCATTGTCCTTCAGCTGGTCAATTTGGGAACTAACTAGCTCTTGTGTTGGTGGCTCCCAGCCATCCCCTTAGCCTTGTAGCTTTTTAGTGTTTAGTACCAGTTTTTCCATTTAACCCACTAAATGTTAAACTTTTAGCGGGGGATCTGAGGGCAGCCCACCAGTTGTGACAAGCCAGGCAAAGTAGACTCAGGATAGTCTCGGCCTGGTGGCAGTTAAGCCCATTTCCATGACTTCCATGCGGCCCAGCATGACAACGCCTTTGCATGCTTGTTTGGTCACGGATGCGCCAGGAAGTGGTTAAAGCTTCGATTTCCTTCCAAATTCGTCCAGCTTCACTGTGCTCGAGCCAGGGCATGAAATGAAGGATGATGGCCTGCAAGGTTTGCCCGCCAACGCCGCGTTTTTTTCTTCAGAAGTTGGTTTGGTCCCAGGGTGGAGTGGAAAGCGCCGCCCGGGCTCCAAGGGCTTGGGCGAAGTTGGGTGAACTCAGTCGGCGAGCTGGCAAGCTGGCAGCCCAAACTGCCTGCACGACAATGGCATGCACGGAAGCACTAGCCGTTGGGATTCGGATGGGTGCCCCTGGTAAGTTATTGGTGCCAAGAGGGAGCATCTCATGACCAGACGAGCCGGAGATGGAGGGTCAAATCAGAGTGATCCTTTTTTTTGCTGGCCCGCCGGGATAAATGAAATGATCCTGCTGGTTGGCATGACATCCACTTGGGCACTCAGGGGGCTGAGGCCATTGCCTTTTGGAGCATGCTGGTCGCGTCGGCCTTTGTAGCTGATGGGATACGGTTGGCAGGGACGCCTCGAGACCGGTCGTTCTCGCCGGCTTTCTTTCAGGTTCGACTCCCGGGCCAACTCCAAGAGTAGTGGGGCAATGCTCCAAACAACGCTGCGGCCGCCCCAGATATTTCTGGATGCGACGCAGGTCTGGCAAACGGCCAATGTTTGGGCTGTTGCTGGGGTTCAGCCATAGCCTGCATGAGCCTATATTTTTGAGTTGCAGTGTACACGGGGGCTGGGGGCTTCACGATACCTACGGCGGCGACAACAATGTGTGTATATATATATATATTTGTGAATACATATTTTTCGCAGTCGGTGAAAAGGCATCTTGGCTCTTCTGGGCAAAGGGTGCCAGCTTTCGGTCCGCCAATCGCTCTTCTTCCTGGCAGCGGGGGGCGGAGGGTGGTCGAACGGGCTGTTTTGTGCGAAGCGGGCTTCGCACAAAACAGCCCGTTCGACCACCCTCCGCCCCCCGCTGCCAGGAAGAAGAGCGATTGGCGGACCGAAGAAGCCCGGGCGAAAGGTTTCCAGGGCATTCCTGCACAGGCGCGGCAACTTGCCTAGTCTGCTTCAAGCAATGCAGTACCAAAACGTTGTCTAGCTGCGGGATCTCGGGCCGCACGCATTTCTAGTTTGGCATCCTGATTTCAATCCGAATTTGGCCAGAGACGAATCACGAAACCCCGTGTCACCCGCCCAGGGAGCCTGTTCCACAGCGCGGCTCTTGGTGCGTGGGCTTTTTGCTTCACCGGACGGGGCGGTCAGGTCGAAGCGTTTATCCTTTACTGTTTGGCTCCCACTGGGCAGCTTTTTCCAGTGGCGCAAAAGGTCTGATTTATATAGACCTTGTGTTTTGTTCGATGCTTGTTTATGTTTGCACGTGCCCAGCCTTTGCCCATCCCCACGGCCGGCAAGGGCTGTGTTTGGAATGATTCTGCTGAGCTTTCTCTGAGGTTCGACTCCCGGGCCAACTCCAAGAGTAGTGGCGCAATGCTCCCAACGCTGCGCCTGCCCCAGATATGTCTGGATGCGACGCAGGTCTGGCGACCGTACATTGTCATGGCCTGCATGAGCCTATATTTTCAAAATTTTGAATAATTTTGACGTGCAGTGCCCGGCGCCGTGGATCACGCGGGGCTGGGGGGAGTCACTATACTTGCGAAGACAACATGTATAAACAGACGGAGAAAAAGGCACGTTGGCTTTGCTGGGGAAACGGTGGAACGGGCTGTTTTGTGTGAAACCCGGGCTTAAGGTTGGTCGAGCAAGGCAGTTGCTTGTCTCCAGGGCATTCTTGCACAGGCGCGGCAACCTGCTTAGCCTGCTTCAAACAATGCGGTACCAAAACGTTGTCTAGCTGCGGGATCTCGGGCCGCACGCATTTCTAGTTTGGCATCCTGATTTCAATCCGAGTTCGGCCAGAGACGCAACCCGTGTCATCTGCCCAGGGAGCCTGTTCCACA